GAGGGGAGGGCTCAGGAGCTGGGGACACCCAGCTGTGCAGCTTTCCCTGATTTAAACCTGCTCTGTGCTTGGCTGGGCAAAGAGCACGGGGCACTAAGAGAGAGCAGGAGGTGATGAGGAGGACATTTGCCAGCGACTTGCATCAGCTGAGAGAGTACAAAAAAGACTAAAACTCTCACTGCCACACAAAGTGAGATGAATTTTCACAACAGTTACAGTAAAGCAGGGATCTAAATTAGCTTCTCACCCGATGCTCATTGTGCAGTGAAAGTAAACCACCACCTCATAAACCCACGAGCAAGGGCAAGGTGCCAGGGAGAGCTCCTGTGTAACCCAGCTGCTGCTGCCAGGGCAGGGCAGAGCTGCTCCAAGAGCTGCCAGAGCCGCCCTGGCAGTGCCCCAGCAGGGCAGAACCCAGCAGAGCCTTCAGCCTCAGCTCCCTACAGGCAGGGCCAGCCCCGAGTGCTGGCCCCAGAACCAGGGCTGGGCTCCCCAAGCAGGAATTCCTCTCCCCCAGCACAGCAGTGCTGCAGGTACCCAACATCCACATGGGGGATAAGAGCAACATCTACATGCACATCTGTGTCTCCACATCTAGGCTGCATCCTAGAAACCCCCAGATATTGATCTAGGAGTTCTTAAACAAAACAGCAAACAAAAAACCCTAAGCACAACCACATATCCCAGAGCATGGCAAAGCAGATGGGCTAATACAGTTACCAGTGCCAAAGGAGAATCAGAAGTATTGTCTCTTCACTAGGCAGAGCACGAATTAACTTCCATTTTTCACACAGTTAGAAAAAGAAAACTACCTAAGAGTTTTGAGAAACCTGTGGTGGCCTAACAGGGAAGTAGCAGAAGACCTGTTAGCCCACTGCTTCCAATCCAACCATTATACACCACACCTTGATTTCAAACTTCTCATGCAGATTGGGTATAAAAATCTTTTCTTCCTCATCCCATGTTTGGCTGTCATCAGTCTCAATTTTGCCTTTCAGCCTCCACTTTTGGCGCCCCAGTCGCACGAACACCTGGAAGCCACAGAGGAAAGGGGGTTGGGCCAGCACGTCCCAGAGATTCCCTTCAGCCCACAGAAGCAAAGCCATTCCCAAAAAGTGTTGGGCCAGCATGTCCCAGAGATTCCCCTCAGCCCACAGGTCCCACCCCACAGAAGCAAAGCCATTCCCAAAAGTTCCATGGGAATGCCGTGGGCCAGCACGTCCCAGAGATTCCCTTCAAGCCCACAGGTCCCACCGACAGAAGCAAAGCCATTCCCTTGCCCACTGCCCTGGACAGAGCAGGAAAGCAGAGACAGGATGGGGGAGCAGGTTTGAACCCCTGAAAAGCTCCCAGAGGCACGTCCCAGGCCCTGGAGAAGAGCCCAGAGCACTCTGCACTGCAGCTGGGGTGGTGCTGAGGTACCAGGCACGGAATTCACTGCTGGAATTCCTGGGAAAGGTGAGGACAGGAGAGCACCCAGGGAGACACTGGGTGCATTCACACCATGCCAAGGGCAAGCTTCCAGGAAACTGGCAGCCCCTGCTGCTTGATTCCAGGCAGCTCTGGAGGCCAAGCCCTGGCAGCTGGGTTTGGTAGGCAACCTCTGGCATCATTGAAACCCTTCCATAACACCCAAATCACACCCAGCCCCCCTGCCCAGCCACAGCGAGTGCCAAGCTCTGCTCTCCTCACAGAGAGCCTGGCTTGTCACAGCTCTGCTCCTGCACCTCCCACCCTGCCCCGTGCTGCCCCTGCACTCTCACTGCAGGAAAGAGCACAAAATGCACAGGGAAGTGGCATACTGCACCTCGTACTGATCTCCTGGGCAGAGACGAGCGAAGCCCACCAGCCCTGCAGAGAGAAGGAAAACTCCCACTGTTTGTAGTGCCCTGCAGAGCCCCCCAGCACAGCCTGCCATAAACCAAGTGACCCTCTGGGGAGCTCCCCCTCTTGTCCCCAGCTCTGTGCAGAAGCTGCACCACCAGCCCAGCACACTCCCAAAAGGACAGCGTTAAATTGAGGTGAAAAAAGAAATCGTGTCAGTTTTGTATTCAAGTACAAAATACCATGGCAGGCACTGGAGCAAAACCAGAATTCTGTCCAAGGTCTCTCTGAGTAAATGGGCTCTCAGTGCATCAGACTGCTGCCCAGAAACCCCAAACCCATGAAACCCCAAATCAGTGAATGAGGGCAGGAGGAAGGAACCTACCTTTCATCTTCACGTGAAACTCTCCCAAGTGCACCTCCAGAGCTCCCTCTATGAAGCACATGTCCTGAAAGAAAGGCTGCACAGTCACCAGCACTGCCCAGGACCTGCTTCCCACACTGCTGCTTCTTTTAAAGGATTTGGCTGCTTTTTTTTTTCCCAAAGGACACACAAACATTTTCACCAGTAAAGGCAGATAAAAGTAGCAATGTGAATGGATTCTGTGCAACAGCAAATCTGCCACAGAAGAGTGGAACTCCTTGACTCATCACTGTCAGTTACCCTCCATTACTGGCTTTGTAAAAAACGCACAGCTTATTCCTTCCATGCTCATCCCACACTTCCAGTGGAGCCATGAGAGACCCCAGCACCAAGGATTTTTCATGCACTGTGCCTGTATTTTACTCACACACGTTAAGGTTTAGCCACACCACTAACAAAAAGCCAGCAGGTGCCTGTGAAGGAGCAGGCAGGTCCTGCTAACGAGTGTGAAGCATCTCCTACCTCCGTGCACTCCTGGACGTTCTTGTAGAGCTCCACCAGGCTCTCCCTGGAGGCTTTGGTGGCAGGGGACAGGGAGAAGGCTTGTTTCATGTTGGTGGCCCCGTCCCGCAGCCTGCACTGGATGCAATAAGCTTCATAGAGCTCCTCTACCTTTGGAACATGGAAAGAAGGCACTGCAGTTACCCTGGCACGGTTTTGGGAAGGAACATCAGCAGAGTTCCCTGGCAAAAAACCCAACAAGCAACCCAGATGCCTCTGTCAGAGGCTGCAGGATGCTGCAGCTCCTGCATTTTACACTTTGCTCCTCGGTACCCCAGGAATGCAAGCAGCCCTTCTTGCTCCAGAGGAGAAGACAAAAAGCAGAGGAACAGTCTGCTGACAGAAATGGCAGAGCAGCAAAGCAGCTCCCTGAGTGTGCCCAGCCTCTGGCAGCCCTGGCAGACACAGAGCTGCCCTGTGGCCCCTCGTGGGAAGGGGGAGAACACACCAGGCTTCCCAGAGCAGCATTTCTGAATAAACTGGCAGAAAATGCAAACTGGTTTCACAGGAAAGCTCAGGTTGGGTCGTGCCCAACATTCAGCCTGAATAGAGCCATTCAGGAAAATAAATAAATAAAAATCCCCTCCTGCTGCAAAAAGAGTGGCTCCAGCTTCCAGCAGTCTCCCCGTCAGAGGGATTATAATCAGGGTGTTTGCCATGGATAAATCACTTACAAAACAGTGACAGCCTTACAGGTACATGGAATAAACCCTTACCTTGCTGATGTGAAACTCCAATTTCCTGATGTACCTCTCCACAGAGCGGATTTGCTTTTCAGGAGGGGAGCAAGAGAGAAAGGGATGTAAGAAATTATTTCCCAAATGTGCCATTAGGCAACACAGCAGACAGAAAATCACCCATTTTCCTCTATTTGCAACATCCCACCCCATCCCCAACAGCCTTACCTTATCCAGGTCGTAGTAGAAAGCCTGAAAGAGAAACGGCACAGGCTGAAGAGAAGAGCACCTGGATTTGTACCACTAAAGATACTTTCAAATGTATTGCAAAACTCACTAGGAGCATCCTAATTTACACAAAGTTAATATGACAAACACTGATCAGTGAGCAGACACACGGAGACACAGCCCAAAAAAGGAACATGATCTGAAAAGCACTGCTGGGTATTGAAAATGAGAAATTTCAAGGTAAATTCTCACACCTGGGACTACCTTGCCTGGGACATTTCTGATCATGCTGCTTTGCTGGATCCCACCCCAGTGTTTGAACTGCACAGCCCCTGGGGGTCCCAGGTGGGAGAAAGCAGCTGCTTCTGTGGTTTTTACTGAAGCATGGAACGTGGAAAAGACCTTACCAATCTGGAGTTCCTTTTTGTATCTTTGTGCCGACCAGAGAGGTAATCCAGCTCAGCCTGGTGTGCCTCCAGGTACTCACTGGGGAGAGAGGAAGCCCACGTCAGGTCTGGAGCACTCACCGGAGATTCTTTGGGGAGCAGTTTCAGCAGAGTGATACGAGCAATGGAGGAGCAGAACAGCAAGTTCCAGCAGACCCAAAAATCACAGACCTCCCTCTCAGGGTTCTCAGCTGCTCCTGCCTGACCCTTTCCTGTGAGGCAGCAGGAAGCTTCATTTGCTGGGGAAGGCTCAGCTCACAGTGAGGAGGAGCTGACAGCAGCCCCAGCTCGGAGCAGAGGCTCTCCACAAGGAGCACCTGCACTCCAAACCAGCTCCTTTCCAGGAGCCCTGCCCAGGTAAGGGGGGCAGATGCTGCTCAGGCTTTAGCAAACAGAGCTGAAGGCCGTGGTAAGGCAATTCCTTCATCCCTTTTCCAGGATGAGGTCTGTTTTGCAAGGTGTGAAGCACCAGGTGCCAGCTGGCTCCTCCAGAGCTGCTTGCATGCATGGCTTGTGCCTTTGGACTTTCCACAGGGCCTGAATCATTTTCAGCTGGGACTCCTCCAACCCTGCTTTTAATACAGAGCAGACTTAGGTAACTTTTTCCTCCAGTGTTTAAAAGGGACCAGAATCACCTGGTAAACACTACATTCTTAGACACTGTCTCCAAGCAGTCAAAATTACTTCATTTTAGACAGCTACACTTCCTCACATTCGCTTTGATGCATTTTCTTGCTGCTCCAAAACCAGGTCCCCCAAGACACCTTTCAGAAAATCCCAATCACTTTTAGCTTTAAGTATGTTAGAATTACCAGCTTGATGGAATGGCAGCCAGATGGTTAACAGAATAAAGAGGTATTTTCTGTAGCTAGAAAAAACAGGCACGTAAAATATGTTCTGCACTGAAAACTCAAGTCACTCCAGCACCGAGTGGACTTAGTCTGCATTTACTTAAAATTTGGCCTCTGCATTGCCATTTGATACAGCTGTTTTCTGTAGGTTGCTTCAGTCAATTAGTCAGCCACTCACTGCTCATGTGGCACTCGCTGCAAAACTGGGAACTAATTCTGACCCACTTTATAGCTTCTCCTCCCTAAGCTCAGATAAATTCTCAGCTCTGCAAAAACATTTGGTTTCCTTGTTGCTTTTAAATCTAAATCCTCTAATAAGACATTGGTGGATATTTTTAGGGCGAAGACTTCATAGTCTTTTATTGAACTAAAAAGGTGACATATCTGACTTTATTAAGTGTTACTACAGCGCATTTGATGTTCTTTGCTTAAGAAAACAAACTATGACCAAAATGGGTACAGTAGCCAAATGTGGGGGACAGCACAACACACTGCAGGAGCTGCCAGGAGGGTGCCAGCACAGAGAGCTGCAGGGCTCACAAATCCAGGGAAAGGTATTTTATCTTCTGACAGCAGCTGCAGGCTGTAAATGAAGTTCCTGTGATAACAGACTCAGAACATTCCGGGAAATCAAAAACCTGAAGTTTTCAGGTGAGCCTGCTTAGACCTTTGCCTTACGTGGCACCCAGAGACCACAGAGTTATAGTGAACTTCAGAGTTTAATTCTGTTAAAAGAGGGAGAAAAAAAATAAAGAAAAATACCACAAAAGACCCATCCTGACACCCTTGTAGAAGAGCTGACTGTGTAATTAGTTCAGTAATTAGCACAGAGAGGACAGAAGCGCTTGATGAGCCAGCCTCCCCACTCTGCCTTGCAGGGCACACCCTCACTTTCAGACTCGGTTTTAACTCAGCTTTTTGAGCTGAATCAAACTCCAGAGAGCTCTCACCCCCAGAACTCTGTGCCAGTCACTCCCCAGGCCTGGCTGTCCGTGCCCACCGTGCCACCCCCAGGAGATGGACAGCCACCCTGGCACCTTTAGAGTGCAGAAAAGCAGGAGGCAGCAAAGCAGCAGAGGCCTGTGCTGGCCAGCAGGCTGAGAGAGAATGAAATCTGCTTTTCAAGGTGCTTTGCAGTGTGGGCAGCAGCACACGTGCTCAGAGGTGCCCAGAGGAGGCAGAGCACAGTGCCACACACGCTTCAGCAGCAACACTGGGGAGGGCAAATGACAATATTGAAAAAGTCCTTACTTAAGTCCTTTCTTCAAAGCTTCAAAAATTTTCTTCACCTGCAGTGGCTTTGGATCCCAGATGAGTGCCCCCTTCTGCAGGGAATTATAGGCCTTGGGGGGCTTCAGTGACATCCTTGATCTCACTGAGCTTCTGCAGAAGGACTTGCTGGAAGAAGAGAAAGGAAATCAGGAGAGGTTGCAAATCACTTGGGAGCCCAGAGATGCCCGAGGCACACAGCTTCAGGGGACAGTTCTACCAACCCCATCCACATTCACCCAAAAATCACCAAGTTTTGGCACCTGAGCACCCTGGCAGCAAGGAAAGCCCCAGAGAGCTGGCTCTGTGTGCCCAGCAGGGCAGGGCAGGGCTGCTGCCCACAGCCTGGGCACCCTCAGAGCCCCCAGGAGAGCAGCACAGCCCCTGTGAGCCCACCTGCGAGCCAGGCACCCCACTGGGACCCCAGCTCCAAGGCAAAGCTCCCCTAAGAGCCTCCAGGAGCTGCTGGTTCCTGCCCTGCACTCACAGCCACGTAAACCACGGCTCAGAGCACTGCCCAGTCCCCAAAGCCAGGCCCAGACTGCACACAAGGTATCATTATCAAGGGTTTTGTTCAACCTCTGACACCTCAGCTAATTACTTTTAAAAGCAACTACAAAATCAAAATTAAATATTATTTCTACAGCAAGCCCCCCACACAGACCTTTTGTGCCACCCTAAGGAGTTAGAACACCCTGAGCCATGAGTTAGAAACACCTTTAAAGCAGAAAATGATCTCTCTGTAAATAATTCCTGCCTGGCTTACCTCTCTCTAAATCCTCCCCTAAGTCTTGGCTATTTTTACATAGGTTTGTTAATAATCCCTGTAAGTAAAGCCTCTGAAATAACCTTACCTGGAGAAGTTTCCCATCTCCCAGAGCAAGCCAAAACAGGCAGCTGCTCTCTGAAAAGCTTTCTACCTTCTCGACAATTTCCCTCCTAAATTCTACTCACCTGGGGAAATCACCCACCCCATCAGGCACAAGAGTGCCCATGGCTGGGAGATGATTGATTGTGTGGGTGATTAAAGCCCAGCACACCTGAGACTGCCCCTAGTCCTGTTAGAGAAACTCTTGAGTACCTGCTTTAATTATCCTTGTCCTAAATTCCCACTTAACTCCGGTTTTTAACACCTGTTCTGCAAAAAAATCTCATAAACCAGGGGCTGCCAAACATTGCTGGATACTTAATTTCTTCACACCATGGATTATCTTGTTTTTTTATGATGCCTTAATGGAAAGTATTAATTAACCAAACCATTTGGAGCTCAGGTTACCTACAACAAGGAACATAACTATTAAATTAGAACCTTACATTAATATAACTTTTCTTTACTATGCTAATGTATCTTTGGGAATTCCATGCCAAGTGAGAGAGTTTCAACAGGAATAACACTGGAAGGGGCAGTCTGACAATAAGAGCAGTTGAAAGAATCTCCTAGAATGCTCATGCTTAAAATTCTTTCATGCTAAGAAGAAATAGCATCTAATTCCAAGAGCTAATGTATTATAGTTAGCAAGATACCAAATAGAAAAGATAATTCTCATTTGAAATTAAAAGCCCAAATTAAAATTAATTTTGAAATGAAAAACCTAAATACTCCTGGGTTTTGTTTCATTGTGGAATTGACCTTCAGATTTTTGGAGTGCAGATCCCAAATCCTGGAAGTGATTTTCCTTGTGCATCATCTCGGTCCTGCACGCAGGGAGGCTGGGATTTCCCACTCCCCTTCCCTCCCACTAGCTGCAGCCCATCTGAGCCCTGACGCTGTTAATCCCATTTCCACACATTTCAAACAAAAGTGAAGGAGCTGCCATGGCCTGGAGAGCCAGTAGCTCCAAGCTGGATGTTCTCATGCTGCTTTCCCTTGCGAACCTGGTAATTTCAGGATCAGATTTCCCACTTTACAGATAACAGTAATAACATTTACTTCCTGTGGAGACCGTGGTGGGGAAATACAAAATCGTGTCTGACTGAGAGACCCAAGGGGAAGCTGCTAAAGAAAAGCAAAAGTATATTTAGCATCTGCAGAAGAATGTCCATGTGGGCCTGATTTGTGTGTCATCCTTGGACAGACCTTGCACAGGGCCCCTGCGAGCTCCTGCTGAGTTTTGCAACAGCGCCTGAGGGAGAGATAAGTTAGGAAAGGGTGATTTAAAAATTTCTGCTCCATGCCAGGACAGGCTCTCATGTTCACTGGGCTGTGAGTGAGTGTCTAGGACAGAAATCTTCCTTATTGCAGTGATTCCCGAACAAAACTGTCTCTCTGAACACTCAAATAATGGAAACCAACATCACAGAAGGGCATAAGGAGAGGCACTGGGTCAGGAAAGCTTTGCAGCTAGGAGAGCCCTAAGGGATGAGGGGATTGTTCTGTCTGGAGCAGGGGACCCTGCTGGGCTGTGCCTGCTGGAGGAGCAGCTGCCAGCCCTGCTCCTGAGAGCCTCTGCTGCAGGGACTGCTGCTGCGGCTGCAGCAGAGGCTGAGCTGCAGCGTGGCAGAGCAGTTCTGTACAGTGTGACAGGGCTGTTCTGTACAGTG